TAGATTGTTTCAAAGGAGGGGGGGGGGGGGGGGGGAGACGTGCTGAATGGGTTAGAGAAGGTGGGAGGGGCTAATATGTGCCCACTGATGGACTATAGGGACTCATTTTACACTTTCAGTTGTCATGTGCACCAAGGTGTGACTGGGCCCTTAAAGTGCGTGTAACCCCCAAATACTAAAGTTGCGTACTTGGATCCCTGTGGAGTTTTCTATGTTGGTGAGAGGGAATATTTAATAGCTGTTGATCCTGCCAGTTTCTGCTACCAAAATCCGCAGCTGCTCATAATTACCTTCCCTTTACCCCCCCAACTGTAGCGGCTCATAGTTACCACATAGGCCACCGTAGACCTGGGCCAGTGAAGGGACATGCCCTGCACTTCTTCCTACGTGACAATTGCTTTGTTATAGAACACTCAGACACCCAGCACCGTCCTCAGGGGACAGAGAGAGAAAGTCTTCAGTGTAACAGCCATGCCACGACCTACAATGGGATTTTTCTCTTTGAGGAAGGGTGCTGCAGCAAGGGGAAAGGGAATGTAAACTGCGCTGAGAGCCACCATTAAAGCCAACCTGCACGGATGAAGAACAGGTTCTCTTTAAAGAAACACCACCACTTCCGCCCATTCAGGACCAAGTGACACATGTCTCCTCTATGGCCAGCCCTCGTACAGTCACAGATTTACCCTCCATGCTGCAGACGTCCACCCGGGGTGAGCTCTGGTGTCACGTAGTGGGGGACATCACCTGCCTCTCCGGCTGCTTGACAGTATTTGAGCTTGGCGATTGCCCAGTCACATGGGAGAGGGAATGTACCCTGCCATGTAAGAGCAATGGCGTGAGGTGGTGGGGGGACACGGATGGGTGCGTTAACTAGAGATGGGGTATTGGGAAGTCCTGCCACTCTGACCTGAATGGGCAAAAACATTTCATGTGCATGGTGAAGAAACTGTCGACATATTGGCTGATGTCTGTTCTCTTTTCCCCTTCAGTTGTCATCAGGAGAAGATATGGAAATTTCGGATGAAGAAATGGCTGTTGACATGCCAGGAGCTGCAGGTCCGCCTTACCCACTTCTGCCTCATCTAACGGGACCTACAGGAGGTTACCCGGCACAACACCTTCCTTCTCCCCTTTTACAGTTACCGCCCCACCCGCATCACCAAGCCCCCAATTCCTACCCGCTCCTGCCCAACACTTCTGCCAGGGGTCATCCGCCCACCCCTCCGCCCCTCGACCCTTCATCGTCCTCGGCCACTGCCGCTCCTCATATCTATGACTTTGTGAACTCCATGGAGCTGGTGAACAGGCTGGGCAACCAGTGGGGCGGAACTTCCATGTCCTTCCAGATGCAGACTCAGATGCTGAGCCGCCTGCAGCAGAACAGGCAAAGCAAAGGGCAGCCGTACGAGGACCCCTACATCCCGCCATTAATACCCCACCAGCTGCCTCACAGACATCGGCAACAGCACCCCCCGCCGCTTATGTCCGAGCAGGTCTTTGCAGGGGTTTACCCCCTTTTCCCTACACAGCAGATCCAACCCTTGTTACCACTACAGGAGCTACCTATCAGGAACAACCGAGCACTGGGACAGGAACTCCGGCCACTGGGCTGGGGGCAGGAGAGCGGAGTGGACCCGCACGCTACCACCATCACAAGTGTGTTGTCTGCTCTCATCCAGGAGATGAAAAGCACTATGCAGAGAGACTTAAACCGAAAGATGGTGGAAAATGTCGCCTTCCGAGCCTTCGACGAGTGGTGGGAGCGCAAGGAGGAGAAGGCAAAAGTAAGTGAAGAGTTTCATTACATAACGCTAACCTATTCTGCAGCGCTGTACACAGAACACTGAGCCATTCCCATCAGTCTTTGTACAGAGGAGCTTACACTCTAATGACCCCCACGGTCACACACTATTATTATACATTTCTATAGCTCTGACATATACTGCAGGGCTGTACAGAGAACACTGAGCCAGTCACATCTGTCTCTGTACCAGAGGAGCTTACACTCCAATGTCCCCCCCCACAGTCACACACTTTTTTATTATACATTTATATAGCTCTGACATATACCGCAGCGCTGTACAGAGATCAATGAACCGTTCCCATCAGCCTCTGTACAGAGGAGCTTACACTCTAATGCCCCCCCACAGTCACCCACTAATAAACATTTGGCATATACCCCATGATGCAATGCGTGTGCCTTTTCAGCAGCTCACTGGGGTGCATGCGGTGGATTATATTCTGCAGAGGGGCGTACTTGTTTTCTGATTCAGTATTTGCACCCTGTCGCTGCTCGGTTCCGGAGCTCTGGGTGTTGTGGGGGGGCTGAGGAATTTTCATGTCCGTGGTATTTACAGGCACCTCTACTGCAATAAAGGTGGAAGGGTCGGTGTTGACAATTTTGGGCTTGTATCGATGGCACTAGTTAGAGACACTTCTGAGATCATTCGGAGTTTGAGAGATGCCTCTGACCTGCTTCAAATGGGTTTCTGCATTGCCATCTATGGGGGGAGCGAATGTTCTGGGTACACTATGTGCATTTGTAAACTGGTCGCTGCCTATCTCTCTCCAGCCGTTCCAGAGCGTGGCCAAGCCTGTTGTCCGGGAAGAAGACAAGGAAAAGACCCGTCCTAAAGAACCTGGCCTGCTCTCATTGGTGGATTGGGCCAAGAGCGGAGGCGCTGAAGGTTTCGGGTTTGGCACTGGACTGCGGGAGGCAATGAGGCTTCCGTCTTTCAAGGTGAGTTGACAGACTTCATTATGGAGAATCATAGTACGCAAACTGCCTGTAATTTATAGAAAGGGAGGAGCTTTTATTTCTGCATTTAGCAGCCAGTCAGATGATTCATTTTATATTTCTCATGTGTTCTGAAAGAATTTGGATGCCGTGGTTAACCAGAACAATCCAGAACGTTTTCAGCTTAATGTCCGGTGTGTTTGGGCTGATGTTTGGAATTCTCCTCACACCACACAGGTCAAGAGGAAGCATCCATCGGAGGATGATGATGACGACAGTGAACAGAAGAGGCCGCGGCCATCCACGCCAGCAGAGGAGGAAGAGGATGGTGAGTAGATGTAGACACCACTCAAGGGTTCCTCCTTTCCCTTCTCCCCCCTTCTCTTCTGCCCCCTTCTCGTCTCTCCTCTTTTGCCCCCTTCTCGTCTCTCCTCTTTTGCCCCCTTCTCTTCTCTCCTGCCCCCTTCTCTTCTCTCCTGCCCCCTTCTCTCCTCTTTTGCCCTCTTCTCTCCTCTTTTGCCCCCTTCTCTTCTCTCCTCTTTTGCCCCCTTCTCTTCTCTCCCCTTTTGCCCCCTTCTCTTCTCTCCCCTTTTGCCCTCTTCTCTCCTCTTTTGCCCCTTTCTCTTCTCTCCTCTTTTGCCCCCTTCTCTTCTCTCCTCTTTTGCCCCCTTCTCTTCTCTCCTCTTTAGCCCCCTTCTCTTCTCTCCTCTTTTGCCCCCTTCTCCTCCTTCTCTCTTCTCCTCCTTCTCTGACCAACACATTTCTCATTTAGGAGGGCGAGGAAAGGAGACGCCATCAGAACCACGGCCAGGAGTAAAACCTCCACAGCGGGAGGGCGCACGAGGAAAACACAAACGCAGGAGCCCATTCCACCTAGACAGTGAGGGCGAAGAGGCCTCTGAGGAATCCGCATCTGATAAGGTCAGGGAAACGTACATGGCTGCCGGAAGAATGTCTGATACACACGCAATGTATCATCAATCCTGTTACATTTTATTGATTCACTGTCATCATTTGTCATACTTAGCCAATGTTTCGGGGCCGCGCAGGGTCCCTTCCACAAGGTAACATAGTGACTCACTGCGTGGCCCCAAAACATTGGCTATGTATGACAAATGATGACAGTGATTCAATAAAACGTCACAGGATTGGTTATACATTGCGTGTGTGCAGGTGACTATCTGACATTCATTTGGAACTTCACATGGCACCATTTGTGTTGTCGCAACAAGCACCACCATCTTGGAAGGTCGCAACGAAAGAGCTTTGTATTTGAATTCACTGTTCCCTATAGACAGCCCATGCGGGGCAGTGTGGGGTGGGTGACTGAAGCTCCTCCATCGCTCACCTGCAGCAATATATATATATATCTATCATGTAATCAGTGGAGTTCAGCTGAATCCCTTCCAGCGATCAACCTGCATTACCACTCTGCAGGAGATCATTCTTGAACAGAATTTAAAGCTGGTAAAAAGTAAAAAGAAGACACTGGGCCATGACATTTTCAGAGGAGACACAATTCCATCAATACATGATGGCTAACATTCACCTTTTAGAAGTGTAAGTCTTCACTGTCCTTGGCTGCACCTGCGCATTAGTGCCCCATAGACGTCTATGGGCCGTGTCACAAGACCGGAGACGATCCAAGACGGTGCCATTAGATGTCTATGGGCCTGTAATGCGCAGGCGCAGCCAGGACAGTGCAGCTGGATGTAATGCGGCCTCCGGGTGGAGGAAACGATGTATTTGCGGAGGGTAGATTAGGTTACATAGTTACATAGTATTTGGGGTTGAATAAAGACATACGTCCAAGTCCAACCCATATAGGTCCACGCATCATCTCATTCTTAGGGACACTGGTATCCCTGGATATTACGGTCCCTCAAGAAATTGTCCAAAAGTTTCTTGAACACATCTACACTCTTGGCTGAAATCACTGCCGGTGGCAGCGAGTTCCAGGCCTTAACTGCTCTTACTGTAAAGAACCCTCTTCGCCCCTTGTGCTGGAATTTTTTCTCCACCAACTTTAGGTGGTGGCCTCCAGTCTTTGTCATGGAGTTAATCTCAAACAGTTTGTTGCCAATGTTGCCGTCACCATTGAACATCTTGTACATGAAAAGGTTAAGTCAGGAAGGGGGACTTGCTTTAAACTAATGTCGCTGGAATTCCCTCCAAGCAAGTTTGAAATGTTATCTTTCGGTTTCAGTTGATGGTCTTTTCCACTGAGTATTTTTTTTAATCTATCCCCTAGGATGATGATGATGACGACGATGATGATGAAATCAGCTCGAAGGATGAAGATTCTGAAGGTGAGACTGTAACACGAAGGACAGATTTTAACGATTTGTTTTTAGATATAGCATTATAATGAATAGATTGTTCACACCAGCGCTTTCCGGCCCGGCTCACTTTGTTATGGGGCGGGAGGGGGCGTGGTGGTGCAATGAAGTCAAGGCACCGCAGCCACGTCCTCCGGCCGCAGTACGATCGCCCGCACTGGAACGCGTGACACATCAATGCCTGCGGTCTGGTCACAACAAATAGCATTTTTTTCTGACTTCAGCGGACCGGAACACGAGCATTGAGGTGCCACGCGTTCCTGTGCAGGCAATCGCACTGCGGTCGTAGGGCGCGGTTGTAGTGCCATTGACTTCAATGCACCGCCACGCCCCCCTCCCGCCCCAAAACAAAGTGAGCCGGCCAGGATGCAATCCAGTGCGTTCCGGCCGGTGTGAACTAGCCCTTAAAGCTAAAAAAAAAAAACAGCCATACACACAGATTACATTTATATACGAGGTCTGTTTTACATACCAAAGGATGTGTGTTTCTGTCCATCCACTCCTGAGATTTACAGAGCTCTTCCACAGAGCATAGGCCTGTCTGGCATGGCAAGGAGACCTGATTTCTCTCTGCTGCAGTTCAGTAACACTTGCAGGTCCTGTCCCTCCCTCAGCCTGTAACTGGACAGTGAAAGGAGAAGCAGACTGATGAGATTATATTTCACTCTCCTCTCTTCTCCTACCAGCATGTCCCTTGTTAGCACATGATTATTGTATTATTACATATTATGGAAAGACCCCTCTTTCTTTTGGTGTAAGAAAGCTGCAGTCTATGGGATGTTGGTGGTAAAAGAGAGAAAACAGTAGAAGACGTGATGACGAGAAGAATCCTTAGCCAGGGGTAGCCAAACTCCGGCTCTCCAGCTGTGGTGAAACTACAAATCCCATGATGCATTTCTCTCCGGGAGTAGTGCCTGTGAAAATCTTGCAATGCCTCATGGGATTTGTAGTTCCACCACAGCTGGAGGGCCGCAGTTTGGCCATAGACCGTTCATTAGTTCACGGTTATTGTCTGTCATGTGGTTTATGATCGGTATGAACGTTCTTTCTTATTGTACAATCTTCTCGGTCCCGGCACAGAAGAGACCCCACTGGCCAAACTCTCCAACAAGATCGCGTCAGACAGCGACAGCTCCAGCGACGAGGACAGCAGTTCGTCGTCGTCCTCTTCATCCTCCTCTTCCTCGTCGTCTTCTTCATCCCCTGCCTCCTCTGATGATGAGGAAGATCAGGAGGACGAGACCCTAGTGGCTCCCACGATACCTGAACCCTTCAGACCTCCCAGCCCACCAGGACCTCCTCCTCCGGAACCTGTCGAAGAGAAAGAGGAGAGCCGGGGTAAGTGTACAATTTAAGGTTAACCCAATATAACTTCCCAGCTCACCGTGCAATCTGCAAAACAGCTAATACGCTGCTCCGAACCAAACCGCACGATCGGCATGGTCTGGAGCCTCAGGCCCATTCCAAAGGGGACACTTGATGGCAGTCGATAAGATGCAACCCGTTCTATTTCTTGATTCTCTACTTTTTACTGTCATATGTTGTATGTTGATGACCGCGGTGCTACGCCCCTTCCTATCCCGGACATTTTTCAGTGTTCAGCGCTGCGGTACTTTGACTGATGTTTATTCAGTCATACAACGCTGTACTGAAACAAATTTTATACCATTTTTTTGGGGACACACAGAGCTTTCTTTTGGTTGTATTTAATCATCGCTGGGGGTTTTTATTTTTTACTATATAATAAAAAAAGTAACCAAAATTTTGAAAAAAAACCCATGAAATGTTATGAAAAATGTATTATTACCCAATTTTTTGGTAAAATATAAAAGTGGGGGTCACGTCGGGTAAATAGACACCAAACATGTCAAGCCCTAAAATTGCGTGCGCCCCGCGAAATTGCAGAAAACAACCACACCCAAAATTGGCCATAGGCGACGATTTTAAAAGCTCGTACCGCTCATCAGTTTAGTGTTATCAGTGATTGATGGCGCTAAAATGATTGCTCACTGCGACGTTCGTGGCGATATGTAACATGTGCGGCACAATAGGCGCAATCGTTGTTTTCGCACGTAGACGCACCCGACGCATGTTTGCGTGTGTATGTGGGGGGGCGGGGGACTTGAAAAAAAAATTTGTTATTTTACATTTTTTGTATTTGTGACTTTTTTTTTTTTTTTTTTAGGTTTTTTTTTTTTTTTTTAAACTTTATTTTTTTTTAGACTTAAAGGAGAACTATGGGGTCAGGGCTTTTCCCCATAGTTCTCCTTAGAGTAACGGGAGGACACAAACTAGCGTCCTCACGTCACCCTAAGCTCAGTATACCGCGAGCTACAGCTCGCGGTATACTGAGACGCCGGAGATGTCGAGATCCGCCCAGCTGCGTGAGTGACAGCTGGCTCTGCCTATCTAGAGGCAGAGCCAGCTGTACCCGCCCCCTCCCCCGTCCGTTCCGCCAGTCAGCGCTGGCGGATCGGAGCGGGGAGGGGGGAATCCATCACCTCCCCTGTCATGGCAGAGAGCCATGACAGGATCGAGAAGTGAGCGAACGCTGGTATGTGTTCTCTCACCTCCCGATCTACTGAGCCGACCTGTGACAGTCTCATTGTCACAGGTCAGCTAGAACTATGAGGTGAGTGAAAAGCACTCACCTCATAGTTCTCCTTTAACTTAATTGCTATCACATAGGGGGGGCTAAGAAACCCCCTTTGTGATAGCCAATTTACATGACAGGTCCTCTTTATGGAGACATCAGGGGTCTCCAAGACCCCTAATGTCACCTAGGGACCCCCAGAGAAGCTGATGAAGCACAGATCTGTTTCATCAGCATCTCACCTCATCTGTTGCCGGAGAGTGACACTGAATGCAGGAAGTGATTATATAGATATCTATATATAGACATCTATCTATATATATCTATAGAGATAGAGATATATAGAGATAGAGATATATAGAGATAGAGATATATAGAGATATAAGGTTAAAGCTGATGTTTATTCTGCTTGTATGTTGCTTTTCCCGGCTCCCTCCTTATTAACATGCTAATGAAATTTAACATCTTATCTCCTAAATTTACTTTCAGATGCGTCTCCATCGCCACCAGTCAAACAGGAAGCGTATATAGAAGCCCCGCCCCAACAGTCTCCACCCCAGTCTCTTCCAATCACACCCACCAAACCATGCACCCCTCCGTCTCCGCCGCTACCACTTCTTCCTCCACCCAAGAAGAGGCGAAAAACCGTCACCTTCCTCCTTTCCCCAGAAGACGAGCCCGAACCTGCCGAGAGCAAACCGCCAAATCATGTGGTTACCGAGAAACTACCCCCCGAGATTCTAGAGAAAGCACAGGAGGAGCCATTGTTGGAACCGATGCCACCGGCAGAGGAACCTCCACCAACTCCACCAAAGGCTCCTTCAGCAATACAGCCGCCAGAGACTCTTGTGAGCCCCAAAACCGAGCCTGTTCTGGTCCCACCACCACCTGCCAAAGAGCCTTCGCCTCAGAAGACACCACCGGAGCAGCTAACAGTATTAAACCTCCCTTGGGATCATGCCTGTCTGGTGAAGTCTAACCCACCGCGAGTCGGAGAACAAGTCACGCCACCAGATGGAGAGGATATGTTAGATGATGAGTATGACCAAGTGGATGAGGTAAAACCGGCTCTTCCAGAACTTCCACATAAACCAGAACCAACGGCCGCTTCTGTACAAGAACCGCTAGAGCCAGAACGAACGGAAAACCTAGAGGAACTTCTTTTTGCCCCGGTACGGCAGATCTTGCTGGAGCACAGTTACGCACAGATACCCGCCTCATTAAAGCAGCCTCCCAAGAGGCAACGCGGAGTGTCTATAGACTTGGAGAAACCCAGCGACTTCCTCCATGTCGACCTGGGTCAGCCTGTGCTGGAGGCCCCAGAGGAGGTGATTTGCGTCGGAGGTGGTTTAGTCCCAGGACTGGAGGCCAGGACAGGGCTGTTGGAAGTTGGCGACCTCCATCTGTCGTCACCCAGGAAAGCAGAGGAGGCCGCGACCAAAGCACATCATGAGGACTCTAAGAGGAAAAGCCGTAAGCAGCAGCAAGCGAAGGAAATGATCGAGCCCGGGGAGGTCACGTCCGATGAAGACGAGGATGAGGACGAAGAGGAATTCTGGGTGACCACTCGGGAGTTGAGGTCTCACAAGAACCGGCGTCCTTTAAAACCGCCTTCCCCGCCAAAGTACGAGGTGCGCAGCGAATTTGAACAGATGACCATCCTTTATGACATCTGGAACAACGGGCTGGATGTAGAAGACATGTATTTCTTGAGGGAAACCTACGAGAGGCTGCTGCAAGAGGACCACAGTACTGACTGGCTGAACGACACCCACTGGGTTCCCCATACAAATATCCTTCCACAACTTGAGTCCTTCACATAGTAGGCCATGCCGAAATAGGTTGGGTAAACTTTGGTCAGCTTGTTGGGGAGGGGGGGTTGGGGGCTTCTTTTATCATTGTACAGGATTTATATAGTAACAGTGCTTTACAATTCAATTCAACACGATAGGGTTACGGGGGCCCTGCTCATGAGGGCTTACAATAGGGGTAAGTGATACAAAAGGTTATAACTGTAAGAGGTGAGTTGATGTTCAGTTGTTAGGTAGAGGCAGGATCGGCTTCCTTGAAGAGTTTTCAGGGTTTGCCTAAAGGTGGACAGAGTAAGAGATAGCTGGAGATATTGGGTTAGGGAGCTACAGAGCATGGGGGAGGCTCTGGAGAAGTCCTGGAGGAAAGCATTGGAGGAGGTGACGACGAGGGGTCTACAGATTAGGAGGTCTTTGGAGGAGGGAAGAGGATGGGAGAGGCTCTGGAGGCAAGCATGGGAGGAGGAGGTGACGAGGGGTCTATAGAGTAGGAGGTCTAATGAGGTGACGAGGGAGCATGAAACCGGCTTCCCTGCCAATCAGAGAATCGGGCGCAGCGTCATTACACGGTGCCTGGCTTCCGGAGCAATCAGGAAGGCAGGCAGCGCGTCTTTACACGTTCCCCGGCTTCCTGATTCGTCGCAAGTGACGAGAGAGCATGGAGCCGGCTTCCCGGCCAATCAGGAAGCCGAGCAACGCCTAAAGACGCGCTGCCCGGCTTCCTGATACCGGAAGTATCGGGCTAGGCATCAGAGCATTTGGGCAAGTGCTCGCCCAAATACTCGGCACTGATACCGATACTAGTATCAGTGCATCCCTACAAATGTCTATTGGCGATTGGTTCTCTTTGGAACTCTTTGAGGTCACTTTGGAGCCTTGTGTTCAAGTTGCATTTCATACCGTGCGTTGGCGCTGTGTCGTCGGCGCACGCTTGTCTCACATTGTTGTCTCCCTTAACACTGCCTCACTCACCAACATTGCCGACCCCAAGAGAAAGCGGAACAAGCAGGACGGTCTCCGGGAGCACCAGACGGGCTGTGCGCGCAGCGAAGGCTACTATGTCATCAGCAAGAAGGACAAAGAAAAATACATGAATGTGATTCCTGTGTCCGTACGGGAACTGGACAGCGACATGCAGGTCTGTATCACGTGACCGGGGACAGTGCGTACCAAGGTGATCACATCGAGGTGCCGTGTTTGTCTGCCAATTTCTTCTGCTCTGTTGTGTGCCTTGTATCACATTGCAGCATGATCTCTCTTATTGAAGAAGTCTCACCATAATCTCACAATCACTTGGAATCCTCCATGGGACCAAGTGCATGAAAACCTTGGTCCCGTTCTGTGGCCACATGGTGTGTCATTTTTGCTCCATTCTGGCCTGAAGCCTGATTGATGGACATTCCTATGGGAGAGCTACAACACTGCATTGTAGCCACCACCCCCTCTTCAGGTGCAGAAATAGTTGCTGTGAGCGTGCCGGATGTGGCACCGACCTGATGGAGCAGGTAAGTTCCACCTGGATCCGCTGCGGCAGAGCCATACAGCACTCAGTAGAGGGCTGCTCTTTTAAGACTGCTGCTGGCAACCTGGTGTATGTGTTCCTCTATGTATACATACACAGTACTGTCAAACTGATCCCCCCCCCACACACACAGCTTCCTGCTGCTGTGGTGAATGACAGCACTCATCTCTGCCAGAAACGAGAGCTGTCACTCGCACCTCCATTAAAAATTAATCTCCTGCTGAGCAATGTGGTCAAACAGCGCTGTGGGGAAGGGGGTTGGAGAGGATGCGCTGTTGACCTCAGAAGTCGCATCGACGACCAGAACAGGACCGAGTACTCCATGCACTTGGTCCCCTGGGGGATTCCATAAAGATTCCTGAAGTGGTTTCCAGTTCTCATAAACGGTTCGGTCCTCCGTCTGACCTTTCCTGACCTTTTTACTTCAGAAATGTGTGGCGACGTGGACATTTTACTAAATCTTAGCCTAACAAAGTGATCAGACTTCATAGAACCAAAGTAGAAAAAGATAGGTCACCAGCACTCAAAAATAATTCAAAGAGAATAAGTCCTTTTTATTGGACAATTGTGTCACGACAATCAAAAAGAGCCTGGCTCGTTTTGATTGTCGTGACACAATTGTCCAATAAAAAGGACTTATTCTCTTTGAATTATTTTTGAGTGCTGGTGACCTATCTTTTTCTACTTTGTGTTTTGCACGGTGCCATCCGTGATAGTTACTACAAGCACCATTTTTGTTTATTGGCCGGGACTGGTGAAAGGTGTGCGGAGAGCACCCCTACCAACTGCAACTTCATAGAACCAGGCGGCACGTCGAACCGGGCCCTGCAACTGGATTTATTGAGCTGCGATGCTGACACGAGATGGTTGTGAAATCATGATAGAGAAGTCCTTTGTATGCAAAGTGTTTGTCCGGGCCGTGGTTCCGCATGAGTTCAGACTGAGAATGAACTTTATTCGAGCATCTAACATACACAAATTCCACAAATAAGTCTCTGCATTCCAAAGTTCTCTCCACCCTTAGCCATAGAGCCGTGCGTGTGCGTACTTCTACCACATAGACTGGTGCAGTGGGTGCCAAGCTGCACCGCAATGGAACATGGAACATGTTGGTGATAGAACTGTGTGTGGGAGATGTATTTGTGGTATCATTCAAATGAATGGCAATGCAATGCACCTCCCACACCAGTACGCGCAGTAGGTGTGATTGCATGGTACAGTGCGTTAACTGCATGGGACTGTATGATTAACGCACTGTACTAGTGTGAACGGGCCCTCAAAAACACTGACGGACACACACAACCGCACATTCTCACACATACACACACTCCAAAAATTATTTTCATTTAAAAACAATCTACCCAGTATCCCTACCCTAAGAGAACCGGAGCGAATCCTCAGCCTGGGGTCCAGTGTGGGCTGCTGTGCTGTGACGGAGCTCCATCCATGCGTGCAATGCTGGTACAGCTCCCATGTGCGCCCTGTAGAGGTGCTGGGAGCCAGAATGTGACATCACTCCGGTCCAGGCACCTCTACAGGGTACATTAGGGAGCTGCAAGCAATGCACGTATGGATGGAGCTCCTTCACGGCCATACCCCCATCCCGCACCACCTCAAGTTGGCACCGGGCAGCATATTTTGAATGGCTGCTCGGCGTGGGAACTGACGAACTGCGCTAGGGGGAGGCAGAGGAACCTCACCTAGAAAAATGGAAGGCACACGGGGGGACCCCTGAACATGGCGTCATAAACCACCAGCTGAGAACCAAGGATTTAAAACATGCTATAGAACATATTTTCAATCAGCATATGTATGATGCTGATTGAGAATATGAACTATTTCACACACAATGATTTACAATGCAGGCGGATAGTCCTACAGGAGAGGTGCAGGGAGAGTAAAGTAAAGAGCCGGCGTGGGACACTGCAGCTGTCACGTTCCACATCTTGTACCGAAAGAGTTTTGGAATGTAGTGACCAATTTGTGGGTCCTGGCACTGGTTTACTTATAAAGGAAGACAAAAGCCTTGTACTGGCATGTGATGTTTGTGGTATACGATGTACTCATTCACTGTATATCTGTAAACAAAATAAATCAAAGCAACTGCTGTCTTTTTATTGAAGACGTGTTGCTGGTCATCTGACTAGCTTTCTCTATGCAGAATGCTGAAAGCTGGTCGGATGACCAGTGAAACGTATTCAATAAAAATACGGCGAGTCCAGTTGCTTTTGATTTATTTTTTACAGATGTACCGTGACCCGGATGAATGAGAACCTTCACAGACATCTCTCACTGTAGTATAAGGGAATGGTTAAAATGCCTGTTGATGTGGGGTGTTTTTTTGCCATCTGTTTTCCGTGGGAGATTTCCCTTGGCTTCCTGTCCCAGGAAGTGAAAGGAAATCTCTACAATGTGAGGGGAATTAAAGTGGGGGAGAGCTAAAAGAGATACAAATGAATCAAAATACTTTGTAACAATAATGATGTTACACTGTATTCATGAATGAAGCCCGAAAGCACTCTTTGCAGACTTAATTCACACAGAAACCACCATCTGCACTTCAGAGGCACAGAGCGGCTCCTGGCAATTTATCCGGGTGGCGCATCTGCGGTGGGAGAGGAAGTTCTCCGCATTGGAAGTTTATCCAAGTTTTTCTTTATGGCCAAAGTCTTATTTCATGTGTTTTTTTTTTTTGTTTGTTTTTTACCCAGGGTACAAACAGGGTTCTGTCTGAGCGCCGCTCGGAGCAGAGGCGCCTTCTCAATGCCATCGGCTCTTTCTCAATATTGGACAGCGACTTGTTGAAGCTCAACCAACTGAAGGTAAGCCATGGTTGTAATATTTGTTCTGAACACTAGGGGGCGACATTTAATTGTAATATGGGAGAGGTTGCGGAATAGCTTTGTATTGTAACATCACAGAGCTGTCCTGGTGCCAGCCAGCCCACAAAAATCTCCTCCATTAAGCCACTGGCGCCTTGTCAGCTAACACTACGGTATGATTGTAGCTTTACAAAAAAAGATGAAAGTATTCGTAACCCTGAGCCATCTTGGCAATGCATAACCAACACTTAAGGCCTCATTCACACAGCACAGGACAGGTGCTGCGTGCGATTGTACGCAGCAGCCTGTTCTTCTCTATGGGAGGATGCGGTCGTACGCTTACCCGAGCTGCGCATCCTGCCTGCTTATGAGTACGGACACCCGCACGGATGTGCAGCTCGGGTGAGCTTACGGCGGCATCCTCCCATAGAGAAGAACAGGCTGCCGCGTACAATCGCACGCAGCACCTGTCCTCCCCGTGAACAACCCGATACGGCCGTGCACGCCACACGGAGCTGCATGGGCCGACACTTCGCTGTGTGAATGAGAGCTAAGCGTGCTGTTTTGCTGACAATGTTAAAAAAAAAAAGGCAATTAAACAGTTTTTTATTTTTCTAAATGGTCATGTGACTGCTCTGGCTGGATCCTATCGCTCATATATAAACTGCAATCCTGATGCTATTTTTTGCTTTCACAGTTCCGTAAGAAGAAGCTCCGATTTGGCCGCAGCCGCATTCACGAGTGGGGTCTCTTCGCCATGGAGCCCATCGCCGCCGACGAGATGGTGATTGAGTACGTTGGGCAAAACATCCGTCAGGTGAGTCTTTGTTCAGACACTAGCTGGCGATGCCGCATCCATTGTCACAGCTGCATACAAAAACTTATAGGCCTCTTACGAAGGTTCCGGATCCACCTTTCAAAGTGTTTTTTTAATGGGAGATCTCCATTCTGAGCATTTCTATCCGGAGCTGCCCCTCACAGTCCTTCCCCGCCACAAGATGTCCTCACTCTACAGGCTGAATGATGACCAGGACTTAGACATACTGGTTCATCTGCCATTTCATCATGAACTGGCAGAAATGAGCTCAGTGTGTACCCAGCTTAAGGAGGAACATTTAAGCACATGTGACGAGAGAGCACGGAGCAGGCTTCCCGGCCAATCAGGAAGCCGGGCAGCGTGTAATGACGCGCTGGCCGGCTTCCTTATTGGTCGGGAAGCTTACCAATCAGGAAGCCGGGCACCATGTAATGACGCGGTGCCCGGCTTTCTGATTGGCCGGGAAGCCGGCTTCATGCTCCCTTGTCGCCTCATGACGAGGGAGCATAGAGCCGGCTCCCCAGCCAATCAGAAAGCCGGGCACCGCGTCATTACATGGTGCCCGGCTTCCTGATTGGCCAAAAGGCCGACTCCATGCTTTCTCGTCACATAGTGAGGAGAAGCTTGGGGGGCGGCTTCCTTGCTAATCGGAAAGCTGGGTAGCGAGTCATTACACGCCGCCTGGCTTCCTGAATGGGACTTTCGGTATTCGGCATCTGCGAGTACCGAAAAAAAATATCGGTGCTCTATACCGAAATACCGGTATCGGTGCATCCCTAATTTTTACTAAGGGCAGATGAATCCATCTCCCTTTACTTCCCGGAACTCTGGCACATGTGACTAGGACATGTGACCATGCACATCATCTCAGGGGAGGAAGATGCCTTTCCCTGAGATTTCAGATGAGATTTCCCAGCAATGCTCTGCTGATGTAACCTTCCCAGGATGCATCGCTTGGGGACATTACATCACTAATGCCCAAGAGGAGCAGGAAGTGAAAAACGATAATTGTAAGTAAAAGAAAAACATGTTTGTTCAGCTCATGAATGTCGGATGATTTCATATCGGCGTGCAGAGCTGAATGCTGATGTGATCTTTAGTGAAAGGGGGTAAAGGTCCACTTTAAGTTATTGCACCCTAAATATGGGTGTAATGTGGTGCGAAGATGTTTCACACCACATTACACCTATATATTGAGGGTGTTTATATAAAGCATGCTCGGATATAGACCACCAAACCTAAACCCCTCTTACGTGTGTGTGTGTGTGTGTGTGTGTGCGTGTGCGTGTCCACACGGGTTAATCTATGTACCTTGCCGCACTCCTTACCAAATATTCCAAAGGTAACGGGTGCTTGCAATGACTGCGTTTGCATCCTAACGACTCGTCATTATTGAGCCTGATGAAGGGGACCCCTCGCAGCCCCCAAAGCGCTTGTCTATTGACATTTATCAATAACATGGATTTGCGCTGACGTGAATATCCGTATTGGGGGTGTTGCTGACATTTGTTACTGTTCCCAGACGGGATCGCTCCCAGTTATTATTATTATTATACAGGATTTATATAGTATAGAGTTAACACAGCGCTTAGCCCTCGTTCACACCTGAGCGTTTTGTAGCGCGTTCTACGCTCGACGAACGCTCTACAAAACGCTAAAAAATATATAAATACCATTGTATTCAATGGTCTCGTTCCCACCTTGGCGTATTTCCGCCCGTCCCTAACGCGTTACAAAACGGCCCACGCCTGAAAAGGTACAGGTACTACTTTGGGCCGTTTTTGTTGCGCGTTTCCATTGGGATACAGCCAAGTAGCCTTCGGAAACGCGCGACGGTCGCGCAACTTTTTTACCGCGAATCGCGGTAAAAAAACGCGGGACAGACGCGCATATGCAATACGCCTAGGTGTGAACGAGACCTAAGGGTGACAAAAAATCCATAAAGTAAAAAAATGTCATCAGTGTTAGATATATTCATTAATTGTTGAGAATTTTCTAATGTGAAGTGAAGAATAGAACGTTCTATTACTCAAGGTTCTCCTCTTTCATAGCAGCTTTGGGGCTAATAGGTTTTAGGTGTTTCCAGGAGCGCAGGTTTTTTGTTACATATCAGGATTTATAGAGCGCCAACAGTTTGCGCAGCACTTTACAATATAAGGAAGACATTACAATCACAATTCAAGACAAGATGGTAAGGAGGGCCCTGCCCCTGAGGGCTTACAATCTAAAAGAGGAGGGGCCAGAGATACATGAGGAGGGAGCTGTGTGGGGATGAATTGTTTGAGAACGCGATGGTTCAGTGGTTAGGTTGAGGTGGGAATTACTACAGGTCTCATCTCCCTCCTATGGCAGAGGGGCCTATACACAGCCGCACTGGGGACCCAGCCTTCCTCACCCCCTTGTAGTCCAGCCGTACTTCCTCCAGTCCTGGTCTATATCTCCATTCAGACCTGAGGCTAGGGGTAAGCATTGAAGGAGCCCGTACGCTGTATCTGTGACTCCGGGTGCAATGCTCTGCGGGCTTCAATGCCAATAAAGTGGTAAATACACATTGATTATGAGATCAGCGTGGATGCTTTCACTATTTTGTTTACATGAGGTGGACTGCGCCTTTACCCGGAACCGCTGTACATTCCCTTCACTCGGCATTGTGTAAATATTTGCCATGAAATGAATAATAGGGCTACCTGCGTATTGTATTGTGTGTAGCGCCGCTGCCATGGTCAGAGCACACCTCTGGTGACTGATCTTTATGTATATTTGGTAATATTAGATCATATTCACCTGGAACACTTTATATCCTCGTGAAAAGGAATTGGACCTCCCGGTATTACTTGAGAAGCGTTCACGTTTCGTTTTCTCAAGAGCTGAATCCGATCGGACTACACCCCTTATATAAGTCTTATGTAACGATCGCCTACAGCGACGCCAAGCTAGGATAACATTAATCTCCCGTCTGCCAGCTCAGAGTCACCCAGACTCTATATTTACAGCAGACAAACAGCTGAACGCAAAACAAGCCGGAACATACCTCAAATCCCAAAATTGTAATAATGACACCAAACCTGAATACCCCCAATGTGCAAAATTCACAGCAAAAATACACCAGGGTTGGGCAACTCTGGCCCTCCGGCTTTGCTTTAACTACAAATCCCAACAAGCCTCTGCCTCCGGGAGTCATGTCTGTAACTGTGTCTTGCATTGAATCGTGGGACTTGTAGTTCCACAACAGCTGGAGGGCCGAAGTTGCCTACCGCTGCAATACACAAATATGAATTGGCATGTTATGCAATACTAATAATGGTACATTGGTAATCAATGCTCCTTTTTATTACATTGATATCCACCTGTGAAACACTCGTCAATAAAACATTTTATGAAAGCATTGTCTTAGCCGCTGGCTCCGGGTCGCTCAGCAGCGCTTGCCCAACTTCTGGTCAGGAAATGCACACGGGACTTGTCACTTAATTATTTTTTTCAGGACTATATCATCCCAATTGCTGTGCCCCACCTGTATAGAATAAGCCTCAGGAGCCGCAATCTGTGTAGGATCAGGGGCGGGGCTTCCAGGCTTGCATTGCTAGGCTTTAGTCCTGCCCATATGATCTATTACATTAGGGGATGAGCAGGGGCGGGGCCTCTTGGCTTGCATTGCTAACCTTTAGCGCTGCCTGCGTGATCTATTACCTTAGGGGATGAGCAGGGGCGGGGCCTCTTGGCTTGCATTGCTAACCTTTAGCGCTGCCTGCGTGATCTATTACCTTAGGGGATGAGCAGGGGCGGGGCCTCTTGGCTTGCATTGCTAACCTTTAGCGCTGCCTGCGTGATCTATTACCTTAGGGGATGAGCAGGGGCGGGGCCTCTTGGCTTGCATTGCTAACCTTTAGCGCTGCCTGCGTGATCTATTACCTTAGGGGATGAGCAGGGGCGGGGCCTCTTGGCTTGCATTGCTAAGCTTTAGCGCTGCCTGCGTGATCTATTACATTAGGGGAGGAGCAGGGGTGGGGCTTCTGAGCTTCCATAGGAAGGCTTTAGCATTGCCTGTGTGATCTATTACATTGGAGGAGGAGCAGGAAGCGGGGCTATAGGGCTGCCCGTGTTAAGTATTACATTGGAGGAGGAGCAGGGGCGGAGCTTCTGGGCTTCCTGTGTGATCTGTTACACTGGAGGAGGATCAGGGGCTGTGCTTTTAAACTTGCATTGCTAGACTTTCTAGCTGCCTGTGTGTTCTATTACATTGGAGGAGGAGCAGGGGGTGGGGCTTTGGGGGATTGCATCCACCCCTCTTATTTATCGCTTGTTGAAAAACAATATATCTAAAAGCCCTTTTCAGTTATTTAAAGCTGCGGTCATGTGACACTCAGGTCCCGGGTCTCCTCTCATCCTTTGTTTACCTCCTGCACCATCCTTCTACAGCCTGCATGACGTGGTGACTTCCTAGTGGCTGTCCAGCGGTGAGATCCTCTCGATATCCAGACCAAAAAGCTCCGGTAAAATAAACGGTTATACTGACCTGTAGTAGAATCTTCACTCTATTTCTGAGCAAAGTTGTCTGAAGGAGCTTTTCATGCCTGTGTCCCTCCCCCCTGCTTGTTCTGTGGTTCCTCCCGCTGGCCACTGTGTCTTGCTATTGACGTAGAAGTCAGCGGGAGAAACCACAGCATGCGGTGGGGGATACCGGTATGTGTAAGATAACATTCTTGGGGCAGCTTTTCTTGGCAAAGAACGGAAGCCAGGACAGGATAACCTTTTATTGGAGCTTTTTGGTTTTTATTTTTTTACAGCTACAGGATCGGTTTAAAGCTAAACTCCGGGATACGGCCCGCTTTTGATCCTTAGCACCCTTTCCCCATGCACAATTTAAAAACACACACCCCGTGCTCAATACTACATAGAAGAGGAAATGTGGCCAGGAAACAGTTCTCCATTGTGACGAGAATAGCACCTGATCACACAACACAAGAGATGATAGAAATGTGTCTGTAGGGACCTGTTTGGGAAGATTGTTTTAGCACAAGGTGAGCAAATACCGTCGGGATCAGATTGTATTCCTCCTGGCTGGAGTTTAACTTCAATAAAAAGGGGATTAGTGTATTCCTTGGCATGCGACGTACTTCCTATCAGTGCGGATATCTGAATCCTCAGGATAGTCTGACACATACATGTGGAGGCATTTCCTCAGTGCGTGCCATTTACGTCAGAAGAACTGGAAGGGTCATAGAAAATTGTCTCTTTTTGTTTTCCTAATTTAGATTTTTTTTTTAACTTAAAATAAAGACTTCCATTATAAAGGTGCCGAGGGATATCGGAGACCCTGTCCTCGATGAGTCATGGCCGGATGCAAGTCAGTAAGGCCTTTCGCAAAAACGCCGGACTCCTCCTGGGGAAACTCTATGGACCGGCATGGTCCACTCTGGCTGCTCACGATTGTCTAGACCCTCCCCCCCTATCTTCCTGTTAGGACAAGCTGGCACTATGTATTCAATTTATATTTTACCCAAAAAAAAATTAGAGCGGTTGTGGTACAACTAACAGCCTGGCGACTCTATCCAGTATATACTCCAGTCCATTGCCATCGTTGTCCAGTATATACTTCAGTCCATTGACATCGTTGTCCAGTATATACTCCAGTCCATTGCCATCAAAGCCCAGTATATACTCCAGTCCATTGCCATTGTTGCCAGTATATACTCCAGTCCATTGCCATTGTTGCCAGTATATACTCCAGTCCATTGCCATTGTTGCCCAGTATATACTCCAATCCATTGCCATCAATGTTCAGTATATACTCCAGTCCATTGTCATCATTGCCCAGTATATATGTCAATCCATTGCCATTGTTGCCAGTATATACTCCAGTCCATTGCCATTGTTGCCAGTATATACTTCAGTCCATTGCCATCGTTGTCCAGTATATACTCCAGTCCATTGCCATCAAAGCCCAGTATATACTCCAGTCCATTGCCATTGTTGCCAGTATATACTCCAGTCCATTGCCATTGTTGCCAGTATATACTCCAGTCGATTGCCATTGTTGCCCAGTATATACTTCAATCCATTGCCATTGTTGCCCAGTATTTACTCCAGTCCATTGTCATCGTTGCCCAGTATATACTCCAGTCCATTGCCATCGTTGCCCAGTATATACTCCAATTAATTGTCATCATTGCAAAGTATATTATTATTATTATACAGGATTTATATAGCGCCAACAGTTTGCGCAGCGCTTTACAATATAAGGAAGACATTACAATCACAATACAATTCAAGACAAGATGGTAAGGAGGGCCCTGCCCCTGAGGGCTTACAATCTAAAAGAGGAGGGGGAAATGATACATGAGGTAGCTGTGGTAGCTGTGGGAATGAATACTCCAGTCCATTGCCATCGTTGCCCAGTATATACTCTAGTCCATTGTTATCATTGCCCAGTATATACTCTAGTCCATTGTCATCGTTGCCCAGTATATACTCTAGTCCATTGTCATCGTTGCCCAGTATATACTCTAGTCCATTGTCATCATTGCCCAGTATATATACCAGTCCATTTGTCAGCGTTGCCCAGTATATACTCTAGTCCATTGTCATCGTTGCCCAGTATATACTCTAGTCCATTGTCATCATTGCCCAGTATATATACCAGTCCATTGCCATTGTTGTCCAGTATATACTCCAGTCCATTGCCATCATTGCCCAGTATATATACCAGTCCATTGCCATTGTTGTCCAGTATATACTCCAGTCCATTGCCATCACTGACCAGTATATACTTCAATCCATTACCATCCTAGCCCAGCATATACTTAAATCCTGTAAAAATCGTACTTGGCTCTCCTTGTTAATGGGGGAGGGGGCTGCGGATTCGGGTTTACTAGACTTCACCCTGTCTGTAGTGTGCTGGCAGATCTTCATTATCAGAGATGTGAACACTGTCTGTCCTAACTAAGGGATAAAGATGCTGCGACTCTGGGGGTCCTTTGTATTGGAATGCCTCTCTAGTGTATAGTTCATCCAGTTATTCTGAACAATAGGCGTTACCTGTGGAGTGCTCTGTATAATCCTGCTCCTAGAAAGGCGAAGGTTACGTATGCTGTGTGGTTGAGAACACATGACAAACATATAATGAGGATATATATAATGCGGCTGCAAAGGTGGAAATGCACTTTGGGTGTCATATGGGAGACGGTTGAACCTCCATTCTAGGTTGGCTTGGCTCTGCTGCGCCAGCCAGTGCACAAGTCCCGGCTATTGATGAGTGAAGGGGACCCGGCCTGGGAAAGGACGAGGTTGGCACGGTCTTCCATTGTTGCTGATTATAAAATCTTTCTGTGTTTTTTCAGGTGGTGGCGGACATGCGGGAGAAGAGGTACGCTCAGCAAGGGATCGGAAGCAGCTACTTGTTCCGTGTGGACCAGGACACCATCATAGACGCCACCAAATGTGGCAACCTGGCCAGATTCATAAACCACTGCTGCTCGGTAAGAGTCTTGGGGGCTTGTTGTTGTTTTAGATATATATATGACGAAAGGACTTTTAAGCTCAGCAATGTCCTCTTCACCTTAAAAACTGGAAGCTTTAGAACCCCTATAAAGATTTTATTGCAGTCAGTGTCTCTCTATGTCCGGGTGACCACTGTCGGCAAGATGCAATGTAATGGCAAGTCCAGAAATTTACACTCAGTCAAGGTTAACTGTCTTGGGGATAAAGGTTTTGGATGGGAATTTGCAGAGATTTTCTCTCAATTCCTGTTGTGCCTCCACGACAGGAAGTTAAGGGACAGGAAGAAAGGGGCGGGGCCAGGGCCAGTCAGACCGGGGAGGACAGCGCTAGACCAGTGGTTCTCAACCTGTGTAACCTCAGGACCTACATTTGTCCTCGGTCATAAAAGCACGACGCAAGTCGCGCCGCTATGGGACGCACAGCATTAGGATACAGCACGTTCCTGTGCGGGGGCGATCGAACTGTGGGTGGGAGGTGCTTTCGGTGTACCATTCAAATGAATGGCAACGCACCTCCCACACCAGAATGCCCGGTAGGTGCAATTGCGTGGCACAGTTAGCTCACTGTACTAGTGTGAACGGGCATACATACACAGACACAATCTCACAGACACATATAAGGTCTACCCAGACTCCCTACCTTACGAGAACTGGAGTGGATCTTAAGCTTGGGGGCCAGTGTGGGCTGCTGTGCTGTGCCGGAGCTCCATCCATTCGTGCATTGCTTGTACAGCTCCCTTGCGCACCCTGTACTGGTGCTGGGAGCCAGAATGTGACGTCACTCCGGTCCAGGTACCTTTTACAGGAGAGAGCTGTAAGCAATGCACGTATGGATGGAGCTCCCTCACAGCCATAAGCCCACCCCACCTCAAGCTGACACTCGGTGCCGGGCGGCATATTTTGAATGGCCGCTTGGCATGAGATCTGACAGCGCTGCGCTAGGGGAAGGAGGAGGAACCTCATCTAGAAAAGTGGAAGGCATGTGGCGACGCTCTGAACACTTTTGGGTCACGACCCACCAGTTGAGAACCAAGGCGCTAGACGATGCTGGACGTCCTCCAGCCAGGAAATGGGGCGGAGCTCTATCTGACTTGCTGCATCTTTCAATGTTCATTGTGAGGAGCTCCCAGTGTGCAGTGACATCAGAGGGAGAGGAGCCGGTACAACGTGCAATACTGAAGGGAAGGCCAGATTTACGATTTAGATATAACGGATTCTCTTTAGGGAAGGGGTGATGAGCGAGGAAAAATAGGTTTAAGTTCAAGAGATAAGAATGTGAACATTTATATAATCTTAATGCTGATCCTCAGCTCACCACACAACGGAGGATTCCAAAGCCAGATTGAGACTAGAATGGAGGATTAAGCATAACTGACGTGGACCTGAGATGTCTCTTAGTACGGAGTTTCCGTTGCCTGTCTGGCGTTGTGTGCGCTGTAACTTTTGCATACGCACATGTGTAATGGATAACTGACCGATGTTATCAAATCATCCCTGAAATCCTCCCCCCATTGCGTCACCCGTTGTTGAAAGGCTTTCCGCCAGGCTTTGGAGCATAGATGAAAGTAGTCACTCGCGCTCCATAAGTATTAAAGTCAATGCTGTTTATTGACTGTGATGACACACATCTCCTTAGCGACGTTTCGGGACCGCGCGGCCCCTTCCTCAGGCAAACGGAGACTCTCTACTTGCCTGACTTTAATACTTATGGAGTGCGAGTGACTACTTCATCTATCTGCATTTTCACGGAGGCATCCGTTGTCACCACCGCACCCACCCAGTTGAATTTGGGCTTTATCCGGTTAGGAGTGCGATGGGACGGGAGGATTAGGCTTTGGAGTATGTCTGCGGGGTCAGGTACTGATGTTGGTAAAGACCTGGGTTGAAATCGGCTTACCAGTTCATCCCCAAGGTGGTCAGTAGGGTTGAGGTCAGGACTCTGGAGGTACTCCACCAAACTGGTCACACAGGAGCTACATACAATTGTGTAGATGAAGCTTTTAGATTGTAAGCCCTCAGGGGCAGGGCCCTCCTTACCATCTTGTATGGAATTGTATTGTGACTGTAACGTCTTCCTTATATTGTAAAGCGCTGCGCACACTGTTGGCGCTATATGAATACTATGTAATAATAATAATTAAGCATTTGTGATATGTTTTATATTAATTTATAAAGAAAGCTTTTAGGCCTTGTTCACACCAAATGCAGATCCGGTCAGGTTTCTGCACACGCACGCTAGTCTTTTTGATGCGTTTTTTAAAACATTTTTTAGTTTAACATGGGCTTTCAGTGCGTTCCAGGCATTTGCATGCGTTTTTGATGCGTTTGCAGATCCAGAGCATGTAAAATAGGACCTGCTGCATTTTTTTTACCTGCTCTGGATCCGCACGCTGCGATGTGAACCGGAGCTCAAAATACCGTAGGAATACATTGGACGCAGTTTTGATCCGGTCTGCACCTGCTCTGCTCTGGATCTGCTCCGCGCCTGGTGTGAACAAGGCCTTACTTTGCATTGTTTTGCTTTCATTGTAAAACCAATATTTGTTTTTTTTCCCCCCTCCCCCAGCCTAATTGTTACGCCAAAGTCATCACCATCGAGTCCCAAAAGAAGATCGTCATCTACTCCAAGCAAGCGATCAACGTCAACGAGGAGATCACGTACGACTACAAGTTCCCCATCGAAGAAAGCAAGATTCCCTGTTTATGTGGGACGGAAAACTGCCGAGGGACTTTAAATTAACTGCCAGCCCGGTCGCAGGTTCCGGTTGCGGGTTCCGGTCACGGGGCTCCACATAAACTCCTTACCGCGGCCAAAGCCACGAACTCTGGAGGTCACAATAGGCGGAAGGCTTCGCTTTCCGACACCGGGTTTTAGAAGCGGCCGCGCTTGTTACTTCAGCTTTCCTTTCCCAGTACATAGACGGCTCGGCATTTGGTCGGGGGAGGGGGGGGGGCGCCGCTGGGGCTCCTGGTATTTTTTGTGGGTGTATAGAACTTTTTT